GCCCTCCACAGCTAAGATGCTGAAAAACAGCTCAACCTGGAGCTGGGCTGCCGTGAGTCGTCAGCAACNTATTTTGGTGAATATTGCCTGAGCTAAAACAAAATAAACATCCTAGAATTTTACTATGCAAAATGTGTTCCATGGACCAACATCATGGACGTCACCTTGGGAGCTTGTTAGAAGATCTCAGTCTCCAATCCTGAAATCCCCTGTGTTAAACGGTAAAACATGCATTTTAACAAGGTCTCCAGGTGATTTGTATGCACTTGGGAGTTTGAGAATCAACATCCTGGAAGACACGGATATATAATATTCTGTTTTCTGTCCATTTCCTCTACTGCAACTCTCTGACAGGTCTCTATTTCCACTCCTGCAGCCCCTAGTTTATCATATCAAACTCCTGTTTACAAAATGCTCTGTGTCCACTTACTTGTTGTAATTCGCTTCTCTTTCAGTCATCTGGGTTCCCTGACCAATTAACCTACCTATCTTCTGAGTCCAGAACCAGCCTCTGCTTCTCTCACACCTGTTGGTTTCCCTTGGTTTCCCCACCTCAGCCTCACCATGGTTTCCCCACTTCTAGCACACACATGCATACTTAATTTGCTTTTTCGGTCTACACAAAATAATGCTTTTTATAATAAATGTATTATTCACTTCATAATTAGAAAAAGGTAAAAAACACATGTGAGAGATAAACAAAAAATACAACAACAAAATAAAACACCATTTATTTTCATGTGCCCCTAACAATTTGAAGAAAACCAGGATTCTTTGCCATACAGAAGACTTTTAAATGTCGCTGGCCTTTTGGAAACTTCATAGACCAGTACTGTCTGAGGTGAAGCCAAAGCACATATTGATTTAAAACTATTTATCAATAGGTACTAATAATCTATAAATCAAACCACAACTCATTCCATAAGAAAATATAACTTGTTTGATGGGGAGAAAGTAATTTTTATTCATTTGTGAATTGTTTTTATTTCAATACCTAAATTAAAAAATATTGACTCAATGAAGACACATATTTGTACAAAACTTACCATTTTTTATTTTAGATTGTTTATTTTATTTTATTGTAAAATACAATGATAAAATGATATAACTATATATCAGGAGATTTCTGCACCACATTTATCACTCATGAATCTATACTATTACTTATATTAATGTCTTCATTTTTGTTTGCTAAATCCTGCTAATGTATTTCAGACTCATCATGAAGAACATAAAAGGTCTTGTCTGTGTAGATGAAACCATGAACTGGCCATCAGGAAGCCTGAATTCTAGCGCAAATCCTGAGCACTGGCAAGTATATAATTTTTTTTTT